TCTGTAAAAAACTAAATTCTCCTCAGCTGTGAACTCTGTTCCAGTGGGTTCCTGTTCACCCTATGTACAATAAATAATATAGCATGGAAAACAATCCAAAATCCAATGTAATTCACTGAGATATTAATAAATTCTATGTTTCTTTTCTGGTATGGAGGCCAAGCAGCTGAGCAAGTTGGATCTTCACTGCTGAAGATGATTGAAACAAAGCAGAGCACAGTCAATAGTGAAGCCATTACTATAGTGAGAAATCCATTTGCATTGTTGGCTCACTAATTTGTTTGGTGTGCTATTGATTTGATCTCTGCCAAGAGAGACTAAGGGCTTGGTCACAGCTCTTTTGAATGTATTACTAGGGCTTGTATAGAATGGCTGGAAGGAAATTGTAACGGGCAGGTCATGATTGGGCTAACTTGGGAAAAGCTTGGGAATTTTGACTGTAAAAGTTGGACTCCTCTCTTTGTTCCTCTGCTCCTACAAGCTGCTGAGCCTACTCCAAAGGCTTGAGGGTGCTTCACCAACAGACCCATGTGCCCACTGGTATCCCACCAGGCAAGCCACTGGGTACCCTTAGAGCATCCCAGAAACCATCCTTTAGAGAAGTAAATCAGAGAAATACTTACTCAAGTGTCAGTCTTTCTGCTTAAAACTTTCCACTGCTCACTGGGGGACATTCAAAAGTGTCAGTCCCATTGATTTTCTTTTTTTTTTTTTTTTTTCCCTTTGTTTGTTCCTAATTCTCTTAGATGAGTTTTTCTTTAAAAAAAACCTCCTTCCTGAGTGCTAACTGCCAACAGGGTAGCTAGTGCCATTGCACTGGAGGAAGTCAGCAAATGAACCCATGTGTAAATGAATGTCATTAACCATCAAATTAACTTCCCCAGCAGTGATGAATACTGTACATCATTAAAGTTCCACTCCTATTGTCAATTTGCATCTAATTTACAATTTTAGTCTAGGAAAGTTTATCCCTGTTTTTTGTTAGCTAGATTAACTTTAAATACAGTACTTAAATTATGTTTTTTTGGATCTTTCAGCAAGTCAAAGTGGCTGCCAGTTCTCTAGAAATGAGAAAACTGGCTGTTTTTTATGAAACATACTGTTTGCTTGAAATTCACACTGGGGCATGGCCATGTGTTTGTACATATGTTTCAAGGATGGATCTGCTCTCTGTTCATAAATTACAAAATTCCTTTTCATTACTTCCTATGAATTCACCCTGAATTTGATGTTAGTAAAGGACCCAGTGACATTTCACAGAAGAAATTAAATAATTTTGTATCATTTTGCCAAGTATATTGATAATGATAATCAGCCTCTGATAGTAAGCAGATAAAAACCTCAGCCTGTAGATGCCTTTGGTTTTGGGATTTTTTAAAATCTTGCTCAAGATATGTTTTTACCCTTTTCACTGACAAGAAATGTGGGTCTTCTGTCACCTAGAAAAATTGATAAATTAATGGTCTCCAAGAATAAGTGGTGTTTGTGAGATTTTCAAAGTAAAGGATGTTTATCAGACTGCTTAAAATACATTGATATTAAAGACTGAGCCAATAAGCATTTTGAGTAAAGGACGTTTTCTGTTTAACTTCTTGGTAGACAGATAACTTGTTCTCCAGTAAAATAGCTTCTTTCTTGTATTTCTAAATTTTAGAAGTAGCAAAGTAGGAAGAATATGTTCATACTTTTCTTTTGCATTTTAAGAAGGCAGGGAGAAATTAAAAATGTAATGCTACATGTGCTTTGAAGGGCTAATTATACATGTTGTATAAAATACATTGGCAAACACAAATACATGTGACAGAGGACAGCTATTATTGATGTCTTCATGTCCTAGAAGGTATTTTTCTATTTTCTAGCCGGTGTCTAGACTATGGCAGTGAAATTCACCCTTTGACTAAACTTAGTATGTGCACATTCTTCCCATTCTAGCCTTGGGATCTGAGTCCTACAGCTTTGGCAATGCTGGTAAATAAGATAATAAAAAGTATCCTAGAGATTTGGGATAGTGACCTTTTTCAGCAGGGTAGTGACACATATATCTAAATTCCTCTGAGGCTGACCAAAACATAACTATTGAACTGAGGCTCAGACTACTTGGGACAGAGTTAAGCTTTCTTCAGATTAAACTTTCCCTCTCATATATTTGCTATCATCTACAAGAGATAGTAGCTAATAAACATAAACATTTTTCATTTTAAAAGTTTTGTTTCTCCTCTTACTCAGAAAATAGATTTGCTTCGTCTGGAAAATGGAGACATCCAGATGGCAGCTCAGGAATGGCACTTCCTTTTTAAAAAGAAGAGTTGTGGCCACAGTACTTTTAAACATTGATAGCAGCAGTGATAAGGAATCTCAGATCTGTAATAATCTGTGATATTTTATGTATAGGTTAGATGTGAGCTGAAGTAAAACCAAGCTGGCCAGTGCCTTTGTCATGTACCTGATACCCTCTTTCTGGTCACAAGTGCCATTCTGGCTGAATGTTTTCCCCAGTCAAATGTAATTTTTGGAACAGGTAGTATAAAACATAGATTTTTAACTTTTATATACAATATTTGAAAAGTTGCTTTCACAGGCAAACTGCTGAAGCAGGTCAGAGTTTGTAGTTTTTCTGTCAGCACAAATTAATTTAAAGGCATCCCGTGTAATAATAATATATTTAAATTGTTTATAGGGTAGATTTTAGTAAACACTGCATAATATAGAACCGTGCCTACCATAACCACTTGATTCAGTGCCAACAGAATATCATATTTCATTGGGGCTCTGAAGAAATAGCACAAACAATGAAGATGTCTGAGGTATGTCACAATACCATGATCAAAAGGATTGTATTATTTAAATATTATAATAAGCTCAGTGATGTCTTTTGAAATAGAATTATTTTAATTCAGAAACATCTGCTTGAAAGCCCAATGAGATTAGAAATGTCTGTTCCTGAAAACATACTAATTAAAGGCTCTAAATACTTAGAATAGTTCTATGCCTATGTAAGTTAGTTCAACTGATAACAAAACTCGACATGTTTCATATTATTTCAACTTCTTTTATTTGAACAAGGGAATAGATAAACAAAAGGAAATGATCCTGTTGTTTTTAAAATTTTGTGAAAATATAACCCAAACCAAGGTCATCCATATGGCTTGGCTGACACAAGTAGCTGTAAGGATAATATCACTTTGTAGGAACAGTGGGACTGAGCTTTCTCCAGCTCTGTGCAGTAGCAGAATGGAAAGAAAATGTAAACTGAACTGCTCCTTTATCCACCATTTTTAATGCCTCAGATATATCTGCGTCAGTAGAAGCATAAACTACTGCAGCTTCTGGGTCTCTTAATAAAAATTCCAAAAATAATTATCTTCTACTTCATGTAAAAGTATGGAATAACTGTTTTGTGTTTGGTCTGCAAGTCATCAGATGTCATCATTTTAAGTGGGCTTCACAAGCAGCTATGTTTTTGGGGAATGGAGAAACACTTCTGTTAATTGTGGCATTACTGCTTGGAAGAAGCTGCTGTTTAGATTGCTGCTTTACAATTTTACTCGTCAAGTACAATTCCACTACACTGGCTGAGCAGAGACCTTCCTGCTAAGTAGACCACATTGGGAAATATTGTTTTTCTTATTCATTAAAGAAAGTTTAGCTGTGTGTATGTAATCCCATGTTTCCTTGAGACATTAGGAATATGAAATACATACGTAGTCAAATGCCTGTTTCAGATTTCTTCATGGCAAAAAAAAATGAGGTGAGCAAGGCAAGGTCTCTGGGTGTCTGATTTGCCCTGATGGTCACACACATCCTACAGGCTGCATGTTTGGCATAGAGAAAAAATTAATACAACCCAACACAGTCATCTGGTATTATCCTGTAGAGTAGCAAGTCAAGGTGTACATACCCCAGAACCACCTCACTTACACTTTCATTTCTGTCTTGCCACATTGAGTGTGATGTTGTCTGCTAACACTAAAGATGTTGCTAGAGCCAACTCGAAGGTGGTGCTTCCTTACATTGTCTTTGATTTACAGAGTTGGTGGACACCTGGTGGCCAGACAAGCCAGCCCACCACAATTTCACAGTAGATGCCCCCTGATGACTGGAGTGCATATCAGGGTGCTTCTCTCAGGTGCAGGGGCAAATTCCAGTGTTGCAAATCTTTACATTCAGATATGTCCCAGGCTAATAGAATCAGAAGACAAAAATTTTCTGTCCAGTTTCTCTTCCCAATCAATCACGAGACCTGAGCATGGAAGAGTGAGCTCCCAGAGTGGTAAATCACCAGCTCTGTCAGGAGGAAATTCTGAGGAGCTGAATTTCAGCTGACCCTCGAGAACTCAGTCCATCATGTATGCTGTTTTAATGACTATTAAGTATATTTTGGAATTAGGTGTCTTAACCAGGACAACCTTGGGTGTCAAAACCTGTGAAGAATAACCCCTTATGATGTCCAGGTGAGTAATCCATTCAGATGGAGGCTCTGTCTGTTGTGGAGATGAGATTTACAGGCAGGACAATGGTCACTGGTCCTGCTGGGCACTCTATTGCTGACACAGCAAAGGATGTCCTTGGCCTTCTTGGCCAGCTGGGCACACACTGGCTCACATTCAGCTGCTGTTGACCAGCACCCCATCCAGGTTCTCCTCTGGGCTGCATTCCAGCCACTCTTCCCCAGCCTATGTCACTGCAGGGGTTGTTGTGACTCAAGTTCAGGACTCACCTTGTTAAACCTTGTGCAATTGGCTTCAGCCCATTGACCCAGCCATTTTGCCCTGGATTGGATGAATCTTGTAGCATTTCCCTCACTGCCCGTGTAGGACAGCTGAGAGAAGCTAGTGTACTAAAGTCATGGAAGTGACAATTGGCTTTAGAATAACTCTAAGCAAGAATCAGCACTTCAGCCTTCACTCACATAGTGTGACTTGCACATCTGACAGATCTGACTGCAATGCTTAATCAAGGAATTTGTTTTAAATAAATAAATCTATAAAATCTGTATTTTTCCTTCCTGCTCCTCAGCTTGCAGCTGCAGATTCCTTCTCGCTGCTGTAGCTGTACATCAAAAGAATTTTCATAGACAGAATTGACCACATATATTTAATCTTCCAAATCAACTGTTTATGGAGACTCAGTTGGTGTCTGATGCTTAAGACATCAGTGGTAATAAGCAAAAAACAGTCACACATGTAGAAGAAGAAACAAAGGAGTAGGTGCTTGGCATCACTCTCTCCTTTAGCTGAAGTTCCTGTGTTTCACAGACTCTTGGGACAGTCTCACTGGCTGCTTTAGGGCACTACCTTTGTTCTGTCTCTGTGGACTCCTCTGCAGAACCCAGACTTAAATGCATTTGTAACTTCCTTCAGCTCATGAGTACACATCTTTTTTCATCTGGATGTGTCTATACTCTCAAATGGCTATGCCCCCACTTCCTTCATCCATTGTGGTCCCATGGCAGTCTATCCTGCACAGACACAGTGCAGTTCACTTCTGGGCTTCCTTCATCAGTGGATTAGCTAGTTCCATTAGAAACCATCATGTGTTTCTTGGGAAAATTTTGCTTCCAGACTACCAGTAGGCAGAACAGATAAATGTACCTGGCTTGGATCTCTACACAGCCCTGTAACCCTCTCCAGGCAGGGTGCTTGGACACTCCCATACACTGTGATACACAGATGTACACAGCACATAATGTCTGTCTCATGCCATGAAAATTCTGTTCTGGCGGGCTGCAGGAAACAGAAATTATTCGTGACACCATAAACTGATGAAAGTTATAAAATAACCAAGTCTGGCTGCCACAGAGATACCACACAGGATATCCTGTGAGGAGATCTGCAGGGAAGTTCTGTCTTGTGTGTGTATGGTCTGTGTGCTCTGGACAGCCTGGGTGTGACCACACTGCATCCCTGAGCTCAGATCACTCCCCAGGGAGTTTGAAGTAGCAATTGAAGTAGCTTCTGTGGCTTAGTTCTTCATCCTTCTTTCAAGGAGTTTTTGCAGAGCTGTGCTTGTAATATCAGTAACTCTCACAGGATACAGTGGTCAAGGGACCTACGAAGGTACAACAGTGGGAGAAATCACTGGGGATGTCATTGCTTTTCTTTTTTTAAGCCTGATGGATCTACAAGTAGGTGTGAATCTATGCCATAATTTTAAGAATCTTTAAAACTGGCACCAAGGAAATACAGGAAAATATAATAAACATAGAACTGTAACTTTCTCTGAAATTGTGTTAAAAACCTGCCAAAGCACTGGTTTGTAGTCTCAGGTAAATCTTTCTGGTTTTCAGCATTCAGGTAGAAAAAATTTTGCAGCTGTCCTTGGTCAAATGTCAAGCCTTCCTACCAACTGCTTCTTTTAGCTTTTGAAACCTTCCCCACAGTGTTAAACATTTACTCATGATGCATAAAAGATAAACCCTGGTGTTTCTTTTTGCCTACAGAGTTAAACATATTTAATGGACTTTCCCCCCATTAAGATATTAACCACTGTTAGGAGCTCCTCTCTCTGGAAGCATTTCAATCAGTGAAACTCCTTTCCATAAGGTAATATTTATGTCAGACTACTAAAATTAATTCCAATGGGAGATATGCAAATCTCACTTTTCAGTCCAAATCCAACCTTTTTCCTTGTACTTTCCTTCTGCTTATTCTTCCAATCTGGATTTTGCTAATATTTTTTAGGCCTGAGCTGAAAAGAAATACACATTTCCCTTTATGGGAGAAATTATGTTAAATAACCACATTGTTTATTTTTACCTTTGGAAGTAATTCAGATATAGCATTGCTATGGTTATAGTATAAAACATCAACTGAGCAGAGTAATAATAACACCCAGCTGTTAGACTAGTACTCTGCAGGTCTCAAGGTGCTTTATAAATGTCATCCACGTAATCACTCACTTTGGACAAACACAGGAACTGAAAGAACAGAAAACTCAGATTGTTTTTTCATGAATACTCACATGCCAGTAGTAGGAATCACTTTGCTGGATTCCCAGACCGTATCTAATAGTCACCCTAGGCTGTCTTTGAACACTTGATACAAGCCCTATTCCTGCTGTAGTTTAATAAGTTTTAGCCAGAAAACTTTTTGATGGAAATGAGAATTGCTTCTTACAAGTATAGCACTGAAACTGTTCCTCAGCTGTAGTGGCCAGAGCAGTAATTTTAAGGACTAATTTTCTGCCTTGGGAATGGCTCTGTGTTCCTGGCCAAGAGCTCTGAGTACACTGCCAGTTCTGTGGGCTGGGATAATCAGCCAAAATCCCACTGGCGGCAACCTGGGAGTACCGTGAGTATCTCTGAGTGCGAGAGTCATCTTGGAAGCACCTCTGCATTTTACAGAACAGACAGTCCTGGAAAAGAAGGGGAAAAGCCAAAGAATGAGATAGAAATGTAACATTTTTAGTACGGATTTCCATGAGGATTTTTAACACAACAGTCATTGCTTTGAGTATACTGAAACAGCAAAAACAAAAGTCTTCAGTGAAAGCTTACTGTATGCAGGAGAATGATGTAAATGCAACCAAAATACTTTTTAATAAGATTTTTAAAGTTTCACCTGGTGTCTTTTACACAGTATTTTCTTGTGGCTACGACAGGTGACTAGGAGTTGAGACTGCTTCACAACCCTAGCATCTGCCATTTATTCACCTGCAGAATAATTAAATTAATGCTCCTCAGGAGCCTTTTCATACTTCAGTAACAATGCTATAGTTCTTGAAGGATTTCTAAATGAAAGATGTATTAAAGGGCAAGATAAGCTATTATCTGCAGCAATTATTACCACCCATATGCAGATTGTGGCAAACTGTTGGCCCAAGTACATGGCCCCAGCACCAATTTAAGGCTCCAGCATAAGCAGCTTCCAAGGAAAACACATGACAAAGGAAACATTACTTCAGATCCGTATTAAGGAAAAAGAATGTTTGAATGAGATGTGATTTCAGGTAACAGAGTTGATGGCACTGACCTCTGGTGCTGGAGATCTGTATCAAGGTTTCCTCGCAGAGCAGAGCTTGACCTTTGTTGGCTTTCAGTGCCATGACCACGTTTCTGATCGTGGCTCACGGCCCGTGCTGAGCCGAGCACAGCTCAGCACACGGGGCTTGTTCTGCAAAACCAGGACAAACTCATTGATTGGCATTAACAAAATCCAATCCAGGCTTACTCAGAACCTGCCCAGGACAATTCAATTAGCAAGATTTAGCTGCCCGTTCTAGTGAATGGAGAAAGAGGGGATGCTGGGCTAAATCCTCCAGCAGTTCAAGTGGGTTTGCTGCCACTGGAGCCTGGAATGGGGCCTGTGATTGCTGTGCTCATTACAGATTCATGGAGAGTAACACCAACAAGATCACTGTGCTCAGTTATTTGACCTCCTGCTTAAAACAAGCCACAGGACTTCTCAAAATCTTTGCAAACACAAATCTCTTTTTTCCATAGAATGAAAAACCATAAACGTATCTGTTACTCAGAGGTACTTCTGTTTACATTGCATAAGGTTGGGAATAATTTGGGGTCATTCTCTAGGACTGTTAAGTGAAAGGGAACTGTTCTATCTCAGCTGGATCACAAATGAAACACCCTATAATATGCATGGAAGCACTCGTATGGTATAAATAATATTTTTAATCAGTCATTGAAATAATAATATAAAGTTCATTTTATTACATTTGAAAAATAAATGTCTTCACCTCCCTTCATTGGGCTTTAAAGGAGGAAAGTTTTACATTCCCTGTGAAAAAAAAATAAAGTAAAAAATGTTTAGAGAAAGGAATGATCTGACTGGTTAGAGATCACAAATCACTAATAATAATAAGCTCTGAATATCAGATGCCAAACAGCTGCAGAGCCTCTTAAACCTAATTCTTCTTTCTTGAAGGATATGGCAAGTTTGGAAAAGAAATGATTGCCAAACTCACCATGAAATGTGACAGAAATTTTTCTTTGAATAAATCACTGTCACCCCTGATAAAACCATATATAAGTGTCTTGGCATGAGGGAATGCTGCAAATTGGTTTGCACAATGAAGGCAGAGCCCATGAAACCTGCAGGCAGAAAACACAAGCCCAATTCACAAAGTGTAGTAAACAAGCCATTCACATGGAGGAGGTGATAGGTGCAGATTTTATTGATATGTTGCCAGGTATTGCGTGCTTTCCCATCACATAACAAGGTACTGTGCAGTTTATTCCACTGCAGTTTGCCACCTGGTATAACAATGTATAAAATTCAAAGAGTAATTATTTGGAAAAGTCATATGAATGTTCAAAAAAGTATATGGAAGATGATTATGCCTGTGAGTCCATTCCTCACACTTGCACTTTACAGGGCAGGTGTCAAAATTGCAACTTATATATGTAAGAATTACGGAAAGTTTTAAATCCACAATATGGAATATTCATTCCTACCAAGTGCCAAATATCCCAGCTTTATAGATACTGGAAAAGCAGTTCATCTACCAATCTTTGTCAGCCTCACTCATATTCCTAATACTCTCTGCTATGTAAACACAAATCACAGCGTTAATTGCTATTTTTGAGCACTTTGCATTATGGAAATATGGTGTATTATAAAAAAAAAAAGTTATAGAGTATCCAAGTTTCTAGAAACTTGCAAGAGAGTTATACAAGTCTCAGTCTGTTAGCAGCATCTAGAGTTCCTGCTTCAGAAAATATTTATGCTATGAAACACCTTCCTGTGCTTTGATCCATTTGCACTTTATCAGATATCAGAGCAGCAATGTAGTAAACTGTGTGACCTGCCAGTGCCCAACAAGCAAGAGGTCTTGAGTTTAGTCTGGGTATTTTTAAACAATTTCTTCTGCTCAGTGCTTTCTTTCTGCTCTTTTTTTTCTCCTGCATTGATGGTAGTTAGTAACATATTACCCTGTCATGGGGAAACATGCAGTGTCTGACTGTACCAGAAAAAGTTTTCTCTCATTTACTCTGTATCATTCTGTCTGCTAAATCCATTTCATCCTCCCAAGCTCCAACCAGGATCATACAGAATTCTTAATTAATACAGTCTAGTATGGTGGCAAATAGTATTTTCAGAGGGACAGGAAAGATTCCTGCTCAGTGAAAGATGAGTTTGCAGAAAAGCTGTGACCTGCACTACTGGAAAAGGCAGTTCTGTTCCAATTCTAAGTATGGCACCAGAATGATTTGTCAAATTCAAGTTACTTAATAGAAAACTGACCAATACAGATGATAAAAAATGGGTGAACAAGGAAGGATGTGGCTAAAATCCTGCTCCTCTGGGAGCAAAGCATCCCTCCTTCTTAGGATTCACATTTCTAAATGCTGCTGTGGAGCTCAGGAGCCAGGGATCAGCTCAACAATGAATCTAGACCATTTCTTTTTTTCACAGCTGAAAAAATAACATTTCCTCCTCATTTGTCACTACTGACAGCGCATTAGTTACAGCAATTGTTTTGGATCAAGGCTGTCACTGCTCTTTCTTCTTCATAGGTCTTTTGGAAGGATCAAATCTGGCCCTGTAGCATCACTGAGTGGGAGAAAGGGAGTCTTGGACACCAGGGAATGCTTAATATGATCCAGATGAAGCTAAAAATAGCCCTTCCAGAACAACCCCTGTGTGCTCAGTTTTCAGCTGGTGTGGCTGGTTTTGCCTGTAGGCTGTCTCAGTAGTGGTAGCTGTCCTTCCAGCCCCTCCATCCACCCTCCCACACAGGTCCTACACAAACCACAGATGAGCTGAGGATGGGAGGCACCTCTCAGGTGCGCTATAAGCAGGACAGACAGTGGTGTGGGATAAAAGACAGGGAACAGCCATGTTTCATTCAGGGGGCTGAGTGGAAGAATGTTTAATTTGTGTCAGGGCACAGGGATGATTTAACTGCTGGGTTTCTCAGTGCTCCCAAAACTGAGGCAGCTGGAACTGATGACCAAAGCTGAGGCACCTGGAGAACACCAATACAGACTTGACTCCATTAATACAACAGTGAAGCCTTTATAAATACTGATATGCAATTTAGGATGAACCTAGATGATTTAAGTTTTTATTTTAGGATTTTTCTCTCCATTTGTGATGTTGAGCAAGCTGGGATACCTGTTGCTTGACCTGTCTTCCATTTTTACACCGAGATGATAAAAGTTACGTACCCACTGAGGTATGCTAACAGATAAATACATCATGGCTGGAGCCTTCTGGTGGGCATGATACAAAAAAGGGATTGTTTTACACAGTCACAACAATTTTATTATCAACCCTTTTACTAATCCAATTATGGCAATACCCCATAAAGCAGTGGGGCTTTGCCATCCTCGTTGCCACAAGAATGCCCAACACCCTTACATTCATGTAAGGCAAGCTGCCAGTCTACAGTTTCCAAGAGATTGGTGTCTAGAACAGAGTAAGCAGAGGATCCTGAAAGCCTTCCAAAAGAGACTTTTCCATGGGCACATGATTTCCTCTGTCATTGGTCCTCAACCTTGTACTGTGGATAGGTTATAAAATACATAATAATTCCAAGGCTGTATCTTCCCAGATATGGAGACTGTGAAGTGTTCTGGCCAGCAGTGAAAAGGAGTAAAGCAGCTGTGGATGGATGTGCACACCGATGTCCTTCCCTCTGGCTCATCCTCGTCCTTTGCTGTGCCCCTTCTGCACACCAGAGAGCAGCACTCTGGTTTGCCTGTGAGGTCCCACCAGCCTGCTCACCCATCCTCCATGCTGGAGTATCACTAAGGGAAAATTTTATATCTCTCTGTAGTCCTCTTTTTATTATGATAGAAAACATTATCATATTGTTTCCTCTGATAGCTTTTATATGATAGTTTTGACTGGTTTTGTATATTTCTAATAATTGCAACTGGTGTCTGGCTCCTTTCTAATAATAAGAAAAGTATGTACAGTGACATAACAATCCAAAGAATTCCACAAATTATTTCTTTTTCCCTGAAATTCTGAAGTAAAATACAATACTAAAGGTCTCGGTTTATTTTCTATCACTTACCCTGCACCTGCAGTCCTACAAAGGGATGCTTTGGATAATGGTATTTTATCCCTCAGCCTACTGCATGTTTTAGTTCTCAGTGCTTCCAGTGATTCCCAGTTTGGCTTGAGGTTTTGGGTTGGTTTTGGTGGGGTGATTCTTTTTAGGGTTTTTTTTTTTTTTTTAATTGCTGCCATGAGGATTTCTGAGGTGAGAAAATTTTCTGCATAATAGAGCACATGTCCACCTTTTCCTTGGCTGTCTTCCTCTGTTAAAAAATTTCCTATGGTCTTCAGGAGTGCCCTGGACTACAGTGACACTACTGTTATTTTCATTATGATATCACAGAAGAGCCCTAGTCATGCATTGCACCACAAACTCATTTATGCAAGGACAAAATTCCTGATCTAGCTCCAAAATTGTATTAACATTTACACAGGCCAAATTCTAAAATTATTTTTAAATGGTTTTGTTTATAAACTGGGCTCTAAAAACCTCTAGTCTTGGGTCATAACATGGTATAGGTCACTGTCTTTGACAAGTACCATAATACTCTGATGATATAACAGGATTTCTAGTATTCCATTATTTACACTCCCTTTTTATTCAGGAGCAAATTAACTTTCAATACCTGGTAGGAACCCAGACAACCAAGTGAGAGTGTGGTCAGAGGTGGAGAACAGAAAGTATGAAAGGAAAGCTCAAACCACTCAGCTCTGAGGGGCATCTTCTGGCCAGGGAATCACTGGGATTGTTCTGGTTTCACACTCCTGCAGATTTTTCTGCATGACCCTGTGAGCCACATCTTTTCTGATCACTGGATGCAGTGCACTTTTCTGATCAAGTCTGCAGTGCTGTGCACATTATTGTTCACTTTAAACTGAACCCTGTTAAGATCCTGACTACTAGAGGTCAGGTATCTTTGGACTAAGCAGGGCCACAGCACATCCTCTGTTTCTGAGTCCCTGCCTGGCCATGTCTGCTGTATTGAATCCCCATGGCCTCTAGAGCATGGCAGGTACATACAAACTGCCTACCAAGAACAGGTTTTAGTCCTTGATAAACTTTGAACAGTGGCTGAGATTTGTTTGGCAAGATCAGAGACTGCTCTAAAAAT